TGGGGCCGGCAGCTGCCACTCGCATCCACTGATGGTGCTGAGCGATTGGGACCGGCACCGGGTGCCAGCAGTGGGTGTGAGCAGGGCTGGCACCAGCAGCAAGTGTGAACGCCCAGCAGGACCACGGTGCACAGGAACAAAGAATTTTCAGTAACCACCAGATGCTCGCCCTGATGACAGCGACTGGCACCCTGCCTCGGTCTAGCCCCCCTGCTCACCTGCTTCACAATCCTGCTGCAGCCGATGCCCAGCTTGTTCCACGCTCTGCTGCCTGCTGCCAACGCCTGCCATGTTCTGCACGCACCCCCTGGTGGTCAGCGCATGCATAGCGACTGGTTGTTTGGTTGTCCAGTTGTTCCGCTGTTCAGTCTATTTGCATATTAGGGTTTTATATAGATAGATGTAACATTATCTGTAAACAATGGCCTTTGAAAGTTGGTCTTGTTTCTGAGTTTAGTGTGGCTGCCAATTGTGCTTTCCCATTGATGTTGTGATTATAATCTATATTATAAAAGCCTAAGCTACCATATGACCAAATGACCGGTCAACCAGTCCCTATGACACACACTGACCACCAAGGGGCAGACACTCAATGCAGAAGCTACCCCCTGGTGGTCAGTGTGCTCCCATAGCCAACCTCCCACAGCCCCTCCCCCTGGCCAGCAAACCTCACGCGGTTCCTCCCCCTATCCAGCAAGCTGCGTCCGGCAGTTCCCTTGCAGCAGCCAGCCTGGCCCCGATCGGCACTGGGCAAGATGGTCCCTATAGGCCCTGATCGCCAGCCAGACCTAGGGACCCCTCCGTGCATGAATTTCGTTCACTGGGCCTCTAGTATAATATAAAAATCATATTGAAGAAGTTTACTCCTGGAGATTTTATTTTATTGCTTCCTATTTGGGGCCTTTTAAAAAAAAATCAAAGAGCTGTTATTGAATTTGGTCAATTGTCTTTCATCATAGTGTTGGTCACATGCCAGGCCTTTGTGTGAATTCCTGGCATGAGTTCCTAGACCAAGCAAGTGACAGGAATATATATCCCAGACCCATACGAGTGCCAGTTAACCTCCAGCTCACCTCTACGATGAAGGCTTTAGGTTTGGTCCCAGGTTAACGTGGGTGACACTTGTCTTAGATCGAAGGTGGACCCATGTTTTGATTTCACTCTTTTCCAGGGAATTAAAAAAAAATAGTCAAATCTTTTCAGATCAGAAGTCATTTCTAGTTACTATTCTGTGTCTTTCCTTTACCCTATTTTTGCCTAACGATTCCTTGCTAGATGCTTTAGGGTGCTACAAAACAACGTACCCATCATTTTCATTTTTGGCATGGGGGTTTGTCTGAATGTCCTGGCTGCCTTTACTGGAAATGAAAATTGTTTTCCAGATCCATTCTTCACACAGGTCAGACTTACTTATTCAAATGGAAAGGTTCTCATGTAATTTACCGGCTTAAAACCAGTCTTTGTCTGATTCTTCATAGGAAATAAGATCCATGCACCTTGTTAATGCTATTCGGAATCTGCCCCACCTACCTGTCTGAGTACATTTTAAACTTCTGTTCCTCTCGTGCTATGTGCATCAGCTCTGCCAGATTTTCATGTTCAGGTCTGTGTCGTCTCCGAGCCTCTACATATGCCATTCCTCTACTTGGAACATGGAAACTCTGCTCCTTCTTGACACGGAGAGCAGTGCGGCCGCTCTTCAGGTGACATCGTCTGGCTCGTACAGGGGCGAGTTTCCCCGCTCTCCCATATCCCATGGCACCCTGTGCTCCCTGTTACAGCACTTACCTTCCTTTGCTGAAATTGCAAATGTGCTTTACCCTTGAGCTGAGTGTTTTGTGAGGATCGTGTTTACTTCTCGGTGTCTGACACATAGGAGACAGTCATGAGTATTTGTTGAATGCATGAATCAATGGATGTATGGGACACGTATGCAAAGTATTGTCTTCATTCTTTCCTTCTCCCTGGTTTTTACGCAGTCCAGGTCACCATCCTTCCTCTCTTAGATTCCTACTATAGCAGTGGTTCTCAACCTTCCTAATGCCACGACCCTTTAATACAGTTCCTCATGTTGTGGTGACCCCCAACCAGAAAATTATTTTCGTGGCTACTTCATAACTATAATGATTTTATGTAAATGCTTGCCAGAATATGCCTCTGCAGCTCCTGAACCTGGTGCTGCTCCTCTCTTCACTCAGAGTAAAGTCTGTACTCCTGCGTGGGGCCTTGTAGACCCTGTGTGATATGCCCCTGACTGTCTCTTTAATATCACCTCCTGTCACTCTTCCCTCACGGTGCTCTGCTACGAGGGCCTCCGTTTTGTTCCCATAAAACACAGTTCCCTTCCAGGACTTTCGCTCTGGCTTGTCCCCCGGAAGACTCTTCCATGGGTGAACTGGTTGGTTCGCTTCCTCATTTCATTCAAGCTTCCGGGCTTCCCTCTGTCACTCTCCGAGTCTCGTTTTTTCTTGTAGCATGTATCTCTTGGCGTCATGTGACCTTTGTGCATTTGTGTATTAACTTTTTTAGTCTCGTTATGATGTTATCTCCATGAGGTCAAGGACTTTGCTTTGTTCATAGCTGTAGCCTTTGACCACTGCCTAGCAGCTCGTAAGCAGCCCCTGGATGTTGGTTGAATGAGTAAGTGGATGCTTGCTTGCCATCACCTCAGTCATCTGACTCCACTCCTGTTCTCCCTGGAATATGCAGCCCGGACAGTTCCTCCCATATTTTAATTTCCACTTCCCACACTCTCTTCATTGTGTCTGTCCCAGTTTCCAAGTGAAATATAATTCTCTGTTACCTGATTCTTCACATGTAATTAAAATTAGATAAAGATTCTTCAATGTGTGTTGGAAGTAAAATTAATTTTTTAAAAATATATTTTTATTGATTTCAGAGAGGAAGGGAGAGGGAGTGAGAGATAGAAACATCGAGGATAAGAGAGAGTCATTAATTGGCTGCCTCCTGCGTGCCCCTTACTGGGGATGGAGCCCTCCACCCAGGCATGTGCCCTGTCCGGAAATTGAGCTGTAACCTCCTGGTTCATAGGTCATTGCTCAACCACTGAGCCACCCCTGCTGGGCAGAAGTAAAATTTTTTATTCAAATTTTGCTGGCTTTAATTTATGTTTATAGACTTTGTAAGTAATGATGTAAATGTTACTTTTACTTATCTTGCATTTGGTCAAACTATTGAAGAAAAATTGTGCATTTTTCAGAAGCATCCATTCTGAAATTTCAGAGAAAATGGCATTAAATTGCTGTGTGTTCAGATATATATTGTTTTGGAATCGGCTGGTTCACCATAAATCACTAACTCATTAAAAAAATTTAAGTAAAATATTTTCTAAAATGACCTTAACTCTCATTTATGAGAAGATAGGCCTTCAAAATAAGTTTGTATTTCAAAGTTACATGCTCGGTCCTGTGGGGTGTTTTACATGGAAACGGCCCGCATCACCCCAGGGCAGTGAGTCAGTGCTACTCTTTAGAAGCACCAGGGTCTTATTCAGGCTGCTATTGATTTGGCCCCACAGCTCATTTACGCACTTGGCAATTGATTGAAACGTTTTGCTGGATCATTAAATTTGTTTTTGTTTCTATTTATACATGTGCTGCCTTCCTAATAGTTTTGGGGCTTTCTGGCATAGGTTGTCTTTGGTTCCTCAATATACCTACTGAGTTTGGGAAATTATTACTGACTTTGTTTTATAGAATAGGAGACAAAGCCCGAGGAGGGAGGGAGTCTCTGAGTTTACATCCTCTGTGAAGGAGCGAGCCAGGACTCTCAGTCTCTTGTTTTCTTCCTACCCCTGATGCAGTTTTTCTGATTTTTTACTTCAGTATAATTATTATCTTATTTTGTTAATTATATAAACTGATTTATAATTGTACAAATTTGTAATTTATATAAACACACACACATATATATACATTAGAAGTATTTTTAATTAATAATGTTGAATTGATTTTTAGGTCTTAATATGTGCCTGTGATGCCTGCAAAACTGTGACACTACATGTTCCCTCCAAACTGGATGCTGAGAAATTTGTTGGTAGAGGTAAGAAACTGCCAAAATAGGTAAAAGCCTAATTTGTACAATCTTGTAAAATGAGTGTAACTGTCAGAGGAATAACTGTATTGGAACTAAGAGTTAGAACTAATATAACACGTTATCATTTATAATGCTTACTAGTGGCCTGGTGCACGAAATTCATGCACAAGGAAGGGGGTGTCCCTCAGCCTGGCCTGCACCCTCTCCAATCTAGGACCCTTCGAAGGATGTCCTACTGCTGGTTTATAGGGATTGGGCCTAAAACCGGCCTGCTCACTCCAAACTGCCCCCCCACCCCTGCTCTCCCGATCACCTCCAACTGACACCCACTGATGGCCTGCTTGCCCCCAACTGGACCCCCTGCTGGTGTGCTTATCCCCAACGGCCCCGCCCTCCACCAGCCTGATCACCCACAACTGCCCTCCCCTCTTGGCCTCTAACTGCCTCTACCTTGGCCCTGCCACCATGGCTTTGTCCAGAAGAACATCTGGAAGGTCTCCTGGAAGATCTCCCAGTCTAATTAGCATATTACCCTTTTATTAGTATAGATGGTATCATTCCAATGAAAGGAATATTTTTTTAATTTAAAAACATGATTATATGAAATAGATAAAATGTTTACTTTAATAAAAATTGTTAATATTTGCATTAATTGAAGGATATGGTATATGTTTTAACATGTTTCTGTGAAATTGAGAAATGGTATTGAAACTATTTCCTAAGTTTAATGGTATTATTTTTGGATTTTTGTCCTAAAACATTTTGGCATCTTATTGGCATTGATTTTCACATATTGTTTTTGCAGTAATTACTTTTTTACATAACTCAGCTGTATAAGAAAAAATCAGACCAATGAGAACACAGAATATGATGACTAATAATAGACATAAAGAGTTCAATAATATCTTAATTCAATAACTGCCAATTTTAATTCTCTAGATTCTATTTACTTCAAACATACTAATTGCATGTAATAAAGAAAAACTTTTTTATGTTAGTTTAAATATTCAAACAATAGGGTTTACATACTTTTATATCAAGACAAATGTCTCTCTTTAAAAGGGGATAGTGGCCGAAACCGGTTTGGCTCAGTGGATAGAGCGTCGGCCTGCGGACTGAAAGGTCCCGGGTTCGATTCCGGTCAAGGGCATGTACCTGGGTTGCGGGCACATCCCCAGTGGGAGATGTGCAGGAGGCAGCTGATCGATGTCTCTCTCTCATTCTCTCTCATCGATGTTTCTAACTCTCTGTCTCTCTCCCTTCCTCTCTGTGAAAAATCAAAAATATATTTAAAAAAAAAAATAAAATAAAAGGGGATAGTGTATGTGTTAGAAGTGATGCATGCTCTAATCTGTGTTTAGCACAACTTAATTAACCAGAGTTTTATATTTTTTTAAAGCACAAAAAATTTACAAGTGTCAGTGTAGTTGATTTTGAGTTTTTGCCCTCCCCCGCCCCCGCCCCCGGCATACATTACTGCTAAAACCGTATATTGGTATGTTTTGCCTTACAAATGATTGCTGTGCACACTTTTTGGCAGTGAACCTGAGGGAGTGCTTGAAGTCTGCAAATCTAATTCATTCAAGTGATGCTGATTTCCAAGTTTTAGAAGATGGTTCAGTCTACACAACAAACGCTGTTCTGTTTTCCTCCGAGAAGAGGCATTTTACCATCTCACTTTCCAGCTCTGAGAACCACGAGGAAAAGAAAATGCATGTCCTTTTAGAGCATCAAACAAAGGTACCAAACTACAAAACGAAGTAGATGAAGGATTTCCTTCAGGGTAACTAACATTACCAGGAAAAAGTGCAGTCAGAAAAGCCACGGGATAGTTTAGCTTGAAGAAGGATGGAAACCATGATGCAATGAATCAGTATTCAAATGGACAAGGACTGTGCAACATGGGTTAATGAGAGGTAGTAATTTGGGACATCAAAGAACTTGAGCTGAGCTACAGCATAGGAGCTTGAGATTGGACACGAAGGAGCGCTTTTTATCTTGACTGTAGAATCGATTTTTAAAAACAAGTTTTGAAACTGTATCTGGAGGCCTCGCGGTCCCTTAGACAGCATGATTTTTAGTGTTAGAAAGTAAATGGCTGTCCTAGGTTGTGGTGTGACCCGACCTATGCTTAGGACGTTGTGGCGCCCAAGGTCACAGTGCCTTAGGTGCAGCCATTGGCCGTTACTCACGGCAGCAGCTGGAGGGTTCACGTTTCTCTCCTCGTTCTGACAGATCTCTCTGTGGGCTCCCCGACTCCTCCCAGTTGTTGGTGAGTGGAAGACGCTTACACTCAACTCAGAAAGACGCATGGTCTACTCATTCTCTTTGCGTATCTCTCCTTCCATGTTTTTGCATGGCAGTGTGACCAGAGTAAACTTTTTTTCAGTTTTGCTTCTCGGCTTACAGTTTCATCACTCTTCCTTCCATATGTCCATCAAGTTATTTTCCCAAGAGGATCGCTGTGTTGTTTCTTCATTATCATTTTGCAGTGTTGATGTTTAGCTTTATTTTCAAGCACAACCCGTTTATACACCTCCCAGCGAATCCCCATGAGAGCAGAAAGATGCATCGATGTTCTAATGCTTGAGGATAAAATGGTCGCTGACTTTATTTTTATTTTTTTTCTAAATGAGGCACTAAAGCAAAGTCATCCCAAAGAAAAAGTTCTCAGGCGTGCCAAGAGAAGATGGGCTCCAATTCCTTGCTCAATGATGGAGAACTCCTTGGGTCCTTTTCCACTTTTTCTTCAACAGGTACAGTCTACTTTCCTTCCACGAGGAAGGGCTATGGTTTCCGCCATTTTTTATTTATTTAAACAGTGAGTTTTTAAAGCATAGTGGTGTATGAATATATTAATGAATGGGTGTGTATAGCATATGTTTAAATATATGGGTATAAATATGTCTTTATACCTACATGTACTTTTTGCAGTTTTAGTCACGCAAAGGCCATTAATAAAACTGTAAAGCCCATTTAAGACTTTCAAACGCATGGTTTCTTAATGAATTTTCCTATCAACCAGGGGATCACAGAGCCTGGGTATGGTCTAGAAAACTCCCAACATCTCCCGTGAAAAAAAGGATGAAAATCGCTTGTTAAGAAAAGGCCAAATGCTGTGAAGGAAAGAGACACATACGCCTTCCTTTGCTTATCCCCAGGTCCACTGCTTCCATCAACTGGATCCACATCTCTCTCTCTCTCTCTCTCTCTCAGGTCCACTGCTTCCATCAACTGGATCCACATTCTCTCTCTCTCTCTCTCTCTCTCTCTCTCTCTCTCTCTCTCAGTTCCACTGCTTCCATCAACTGGATCCACATTCTCTCTCCTCTGTCTCTATCGCAAACATTTAGTGAAAACCATAGCAGCTCTCTGCCTTCTTCCACTACCAATGGCCACCACCATTCGGTCCATGACTTGGGTTTCTTTTCCTCAGTTCTTGACACGGTGAGAGAGAATCCTCCTGTTCATCCCACCCGCAGACTTCATGCGGCTGAGACAGCAGCAAATAAAGCTGAGAAAGAAATGGCTGGAAAGCAGTTGTGCTGATCATCCCAGCGTCAAGGTCTTACCAAGAGGTTGAACACAGCTCGGGAAAAACTTGCTTTTGAATCAAGCACCAGACTACTACCCTTGCCCAGATATGATGCCATTTTTAGTCTCACGATCCCCCGCCCGACACACATAAACTCAGCGCCTGTAATAAAGCAGGTGCTGACAGATAACAAGCACGAATTCAGGAGAGCATTTTCCAAGTTTTTGCCATCCAGGCAGAACACTTCATCTCAAATATTATATCATATGGGGTGGGCAAATGTAGGTTTACAGTTGTGAGCATGTGAAACAGTGTTTATTCTTGTATTATTATTTATAATTATTGTTTTATTTAGTTGTATTACAATTGTAAACCTACTTTTGCCAACCCCTCAGTGGTGAGAGCATCAGCCTGTGGACCAAAGGGTCATGGGTTCGATTCCTGGTCAAGAGCACATACCTTAGTTGCAGGCTCAAGCCCTGGCCCTGGTCTGGGTACATGCAGAAGGCAACCAATTGACCTGTCTTTTTCAGTGTTTCTCTCTCTCTCTTTTTCTCTCTCTCTTTCTCACCCAACTCACCCCCCCCCCCCCACTGTCTCTAAAAATAAATAGAAAAAATATCCCCAGGTGAGGATTAACAACAACAAGGAAAAACAGCAGGATAATTTTTCATGCTCAGAATACTTTGTTTTCTAAGACAGGCAAAGTTGTAGATGTTCGATCCACATTTTCCTTAGTTATTCTAGAAAAGATTCTACTACATTATTCTCTTCATTCTTTGCTCTTGAAATTTCTCAATTATCAGATGTCCTTATTCTCTTTTGCTTTTCATTCATACATACATAATGATAAATAGAGGGCAGTTAGCAATGATATAGTGATTATATAAATATTAGAGGCCCAGTGCATGAAAATTCATGCACTGGAAGGGGGGTCCCTCAGCCTGGCCTGCCCCCTCTCACAGTCCAGGAGCCCTCAGGGGCAGGAGGTGACCCGGCGATCAGGGGAAGGTGATGCCCCATCACACCTCTGCTGCTGCCACTGCCGGCAGCGCAAGCCTCGGCCGGCCCTGGTTACCTGAGCCTCCGGCTGGCCCTGGGCAGCTGGGCAGCCTCCATCCGAGGCTTGCCTGCACCTCGGCTGCCCTGCTTGCCTGAGCCTCAATCAGTGGAGGGTGCAGGAGGACCCAAGGCCCCCAGCGGGGCTGAGGGGACTGGGCGCTGCCATCTGCCATCTTGTGGCTGTGGGCACTGCCGTTTGTGAGGGCCTGATGGTCAATTAGCATATGCCCTCTTTATTAGATAGGATATAGATGAAAGTTTTGCTGAAATAAAATCTTGTCTCACATATATAATATCTACCTTCTAGATCGAATCTGATGCAGCCCAAAACTACACTGTATACTATTCTATAAGTGGGCCTGGAGTCGACCAACCACCTGTGGATTTATTTTATGTCGAGAGGAACACCGGAAACCTGTTCTGTACTGCTGCCGTAGATCGTGAGCAGTATCCCTCTTTTGAGGTAAAGTCTAACATGCACATATTGTTTCAGTAATGATTAAACTTGGCTGTTGTGTTTCCCTATCCATTTCCCCTTTTCCGTTTCCTGAGTTTATCATCGAGGCTTCTGATAGTGCAGACTGGGCTTGAGGCAAAAGTAATTTCATTGATTCTCTTAGAAAGTTCTTGGTGTCGCAGTTTTACTGTTTTTGTTGTTTGTTTTTCCAAAAGAAAAAGGAGTACCACTTCAGAAACAGTGATTTAGTTAACAAAAAATCTCTGTGAGCCTCTTTATGGTAGAGAGAGAGATGGGAGGTAAGTGAGGTGTAGAGTTAGGCCCCATACCTTTGCATAGGGGGAAAATTAACTTGTGGTGAGAAAGTAAGGACCACGGACAGATGATTCAGTTGTTTCATCATCTGGGTAACTTCCCTTGGCGGAATGAGAGGTAATAATGTAAGAGTTTAACCTAATGTATTGAGTTTCCAGCAGGACCTGGTCATTAGCTTAAATCAATCTTAATTAGCTTACATCTATTGTTGATTAATTATTCACCAGTAGACCAAATTAACTGCACAGGCATTTATACTTGGAAGTAAAATATTTAGGGATAGAATTGCTACAGCATGGCCCTCTAAACACCTGTGTTTTCTGTTCTTTCTATGATAGTTGTTCTGAGAAGAACTGGGATTAAAATTCATGTTACAAAATAAAAAAAAATAGATTGTATTCGCCACACAACTTACAGCCACTCATTTGTTCTGTTTTGCACTCTCCCTTTTTTAAATCAAAAAGTTTATATGAAGACAGTTTTCTAAATATAACCATCCATATGCCTAAAACCAAAATTTGTAGAAAATAAGACAATATCTGAGTACATGGCACATGGGAAATTTGGAGTCCTAAAGATCCAAAGTTAAAAAAGATCCAGAAAATTGTATTTAACATTAATGCACCTGAAACTTTCAAACAAAACAAAACATAATCATCCTTAAGACTGTTTTGAGAAAATAATAATGAAAACCATTACACTCTTGTACAGCAGTAGTGAGGAAACCAGAATTATCTGTTACTACATTAGACAAATTTAAACATAAAGTGCTGGACTACATCATGAGATCAACCACCTGCTGTGGCATTAAGGGTATGTCCACGTCCAAATATAACAACAGGTGGTAAACCTCACACGGCAGCATGGAACAGTGTACACCTTAAAGTCGACAGTAGCGTGAACCGTATTTTGATGGATTGCTTTTGCTCTTCTTATTTTACTCTCTTCACAGATTGTGGCCTTCGCAGTAACTCCAGATGGCTATCACCCAGAATTCCCACTTCCCCTGCTCATCAGGATTGAGGATGAAAATGATAATTACCCAATTTTTACAAATTCAACTTACATATTTACAATTGCGGAACATTCCCGAGTCGGTGAGTGCCCACCCACTTTACCAGTGTTTGCCAACTTGGTGTTGTCAATTCCAAAGTTCAGTTTTCCTCTGCCGTTGGGAAGGCAGCATGTCCTCCTGGTAGGGAAGAGGGACTTCTCATCAGGCTGCTCTGGGCATGATTTCTCTCTGCCTCTCACGAGCTCGCTGCGTGCTATGACCCTGGGCAATCGCTAAAATGTTGACAAGCCTTAGTTTCCTTGTCTATAACAGGGGGTATCAATATGCAGGTTTGTCATGAAGGTTAATGACTCAATAAACATTACTTTGCCGGCCTGGGTAACTAACATTATCAGGGAAGATGTGGAATCAGAAAGGATAGGGGACAGTTTAGCTTGAAGAAGAATGTGTGAGATGAAAGAAGTCCTTTTAAGAGAACGTACTAAAAAAAACAAGCCTTTGAGCAACTGAAATCCTAGCCTTGAAGAGATCTACTGATGCTCTGTAGTGATTAAATGATTGACACTCTTCTGTGCATAATCATAAAGGTCATTGATAATAATAGAGATGTTTTCTCATCTTGTGGGAATGGACCATTTTAGCTGGAAGAATGCAGTCTTTGAGTCTTCCTCTAGAAAGATCCAACCTAACCAAGAATTTTCAGAGAAAACAGACCCATATGATCAATTTAAGTACAAGCTTACAAATAGAAAAATGTTAAAGAATAATTAGAACTCTTTAGTATAGAAATACAAAGGCCATGAAGGAATATTATCAACATTTATAAAGTTATACACCGAACGCAGTAAATATGGATATGGTCACTGAATTCCAAAATGTTAGGCCGCTGGGATACTGAAAAGGAGGGGATGCTTCATCTAGAAATCCGCAAACTATTATTATAATAAAAACGATTATTACTCTGATATGTAAGTAAGTGTTCCAAAGCATTTTCGAAGTAGGTAGAAAGGAATGATATAAAGGGAAAGTCGAGCCCAGCTGGCGTGCCTCAGTGGTTGAGCATCGACCTATGAACCAGGAGGTCACAGTTTGATTCCCAGTAAGGGCACATGCCTGGGTTGCAGGTTCAATCCCCAGTGTAGGGGCGTGCAGCAGGCAGCCAATCAATGGTTCTCTCATCATTGATGTTTCTATTTCTCTCTCCCTTCCTCCCTGAAATCAATAAAAACATATATTTAAAGGGAAAGCTAAAATGTAAAAGTTTTGGAAGTTAAAGGGGATGTTTCACTATGTAGGCTCCACCGTGGGACAGGTGTATGCAACTGACAAGGACGAGCCTGGCACGCTGCACACGCAGCTCAAGTACTCCATCCTGCAGCAGCTGCCAGCGTCCCCCACCCTGTTCTTCATGAATCCGACCACTGGTGTGATTACCACCACGACGGCCCAGCTAGACAGAGAGGTAACGCCGATATTCACGAAAAATCGTTTGCCATGCTGCTGGTTAACAGCACCTGTGGTCCATGTGTTTTTGAAAAGTATGTTATGAATCCAGTTTTCCAAAAATTATCATTTTAAGTATGTTAATGGGGGTCATTAACTTTGCAGTGCACTGATTTTGAATCTCTAATGCAGTGGTTCTCAACCTTCTGGCCCTTTAAATACAGTTCCTCATGTGGTGACCCAACCATAAAATTATTTTCGTTGCTACTTCATAACTGTAATGTTGCTACTGTTATGAATCATCATGTAAATATCTGATATGCAGGATTGTCTTAGGCGACCCCTGTGAAAGGGTCGTTCGACTGCCAAAGGGGTCGCAACCCACAGGTTGAGAAACGCTGCTATACTGTCTTCTCTAATTGTGTTTTATAAAATCGAATTTCCTCATATAAATATTTGTAGTATTAAAAACAAATATCACATATGAAAAGTGGAACTTTTGGAAATGTGTAGAAATTTGGAAATATAAAATTGTTCCCTTTTCTGTCTGCATCGTGTCTTCCTCAGCAAGCTCATTTGCATTCTTCTACTTGCACAGCTTAAAAGAAAGTCCATATCTCTCTACTATCTGGCTGGCCATTTTCAGTTGTCTCCCAGAAATCTTTATTGGCATGTTTCGCAGGTACCAACAATGCAGCACATCTACAATCCAGCGCCTCTTTCCTTCTGAACATGCTCTCCTTCCCATGTCTTCTAGTCAGAATGCCATCTATACATTCTTGTCCTATTGATAATTTTTCTATTATGACCTTGAATTCATATTCTCCAAATTGTATTTGAAATCTCTTTTCCCCTTGATCAAAATCACTTTCCAAAGCATGTTGCTATTACCTCCAAAATTATTTCTCTTTTATGTTCTGTCCATTTCCACTGTAATTGTCAACCTTCATAGTTTAGTAACTTATTCACTTGGTTATTCAATTATCTCCTCCACCAAGCACATAGTCAACTGAATTCTTAGACACTTTATCTGGCCAACTCACTACATTTATAATCCTTAATCTTAAAATATAGTATTACTAGTATATGTTTTTCAGGTAATTCTTTGATTTCTAAAACTTCATATCAAATTCATTTATAGAGTTTTCCAAATCTCTTTATATTTGGCTTTACATAAGATAGATGGATTCCCATGTATCCTGCATTCAGTCTGTTAAAATATGCAGTATTAGCTAAAGTACACAAAGAAAGTCCAACATGATACGAAGTTAGAAAGGAGCAGAGTATTTTAATGGTAATTCCAGATCATTGTGGGTATTCATCTTTGGTACTACACCAATGCTTGACAAGTGGTCGTTTCCCATATGTTTTTTTGCAAAGTGCACTCTGATCAATGAACTTCTATACATGGTAACCTTAAAGCCCTTTGGTCTGTCTGTACTGTGTGTGGGTAGTTTAACCATGTATGCCTAATATGCAAATTGTTCCCTCTGGAGTTCGACCTGGAGGCCGTTATTTCGACCACTTGCTATGCCATGTGCTGACCACCAGAGGGTGGCAAGGAGCAAAGGAAGGCCCCGGCTGGCAGCTGGAAGGCCCTGATCGCCCTGATAACCTGCCAGGCCTAGGGACCCTACCCATGCATGAATTTTGTGCACCAGGCCTCTAGTTGTTTTATAAAAGAGGAAACATGGGTAAGAATTTTTCAACTGCCTGCGATTACAGTTGTTCTTTTGGGGTTGGGAATAGAACCCAAGTTTCCTCATGTTCAGCCGGAGGCATTATTCTCAGTGTTTATAGTCTATACTTCAATTACTTATGATAAGTAGAACCATCACCAGGAGAAACACATTTTCAACTAATGGTAAGCTTTCTGCAATCTCTGATGAATGGAGATTCCTAAGAGCCAGATTCTGTTTTCCTTGGAGACAAAAAGATGACATAGCCCCGACACTTGTTTTCATGCTAATTTAATGATCTTTTTATCAATGTAAATTTTTAAATGTAAATGTTTAAAATCTCTCTTTTTTACAAAATGATATTCACGTCATCTGGCATGAGTCACTGCTATCTGTTTTTGAACATACAAGAATGTGCTTTGGGCGGGAGATAAAGATTTTGATTGATTGATTACTAGGCAATGTTAAATGTACTAGGACTCTGTCTTTTCTTTCCATTGAGTACATTTTAGACCAGTTGATTCCACCATCTACGAGTAGCACTTGAAACTTGAGAAACTACTCTGTTTTCATAAATTAATTGAAAATTATTAGTGGGAGGAAATTATTCTTCTGCCAGTATTTGAAAGCTATGAACTTGAACAGTGTCCCTCTTAAATTTTTAATGTGGGGAAAATTGTAAAGTGGAAAATGAGACTTCATTGATAATGCTGCTTTCACTCGGCAATTGAATTCTTTCTTTCCAGCTACTTGATAAATACCAGCTGAAAATAAAAGTGCAGGACATGAATGGCCAACATTTTGGCTTGCAGACGACCGCGACCTGCATCATTTGCATTGAAGACGTGAATGACCACTTGCCGACCTTCACGCGCTCTTCTGTGAGTACATGGTCTTAGTAAGAGAAAGATGTGCCACCCGGTGTTCTTTGCTAACGATGCCCATCTCCATCGTGTCCCGTGGTTTCAAATGAGGGGTCCCCCGGCGGTGGCGTGGAGTCGGAGTTTAAGATCATGGAAACATAGAACTTCGGGAATGAGAAGGAGCAGGCTTTCATCACGTGGTGGTCTGTTTTTGCCATGCATGAATTCATTTGTTTTGTTTTGTTTTGTTTTGTTTTTATTATTTTAGTACGTGGCATCGGTGGAAGAAAATACAGCGGATGTGGAAATCTTACGTGTCAGCGTTGAGGATAAGGATTTAATTAATACCGCTAATTGGAGAGCTAATTATACCATTTTAAATGGCAATGAAAATGGACATTTTAAAATTGTAACAGATCCCAAAACCAATGAAGGGGTGCTGTGTGTGGTTAAGGTAAGAATAAATTAGTAAATTAGTTTGTAGCTTATAGATTAGTATAGTAGAGTTAATGAAAAGAAAGGAATTTTGGTAAATGTAGGAATAATATAGGTATATAGAAAAATGTAAATGCTGTGTTCTTCATACATAATGGGATGGACATGTTCATTTTGGGAGCCTTTTTCTTTAAATGGAGGTATAATTGACATAACATTATATCAGTTTCAGGCAGACAACATGATACTTGTATGTATTGCAAAATGATCACCACAATACAGTCAAGTTAGTATCTGCCACCACACATACTTACAAGATATTTTTCTTGTGATGAGGACTTTCAAGATCCACGCTTCTAGCTTTTTTCAAATATGCAGTACAGGATTATTAACTCTAACCACCATGCTGTACATGACATTCCCAGAACATATTTACTTTATAACTGGAAATTTGTATCAATGAGACTTCATTGATAATGCTGCTTTCACTCGGCAATTGAATTCTTTCTTTCCAGCTACTTTTGGCCAATTGATTCAATAGCCCACAAGTGGCACTTTAAATTTCAGAAGCAACCCTATTTTCATAAATTAATTAAAAATGACCAGCGTAAGGAACCTTATGGAAAGTCACTATTTAAAAATAGGTATAAATGTATTCAAATAATACGGTAATGGTATCCACGATGTCACCGTTGTCTCTTAACAATTGAAAACCTCGTACAGCTGTGATGCCAGGGGCCAGGGGCAGGCGTGCCCAGCCCATCGCCCTGGAGCTGGGGCAGGAGCCTCCACTTACTGACTTTCCCAGGTGACGAGCTGCTCCTGGTCACACCCACAGGGAGGCTGCTTGTAGAGCTTCCCGTGTACACCTCATCCTTAGTTTCCTGGCCGTTCAGACATGTGAATACTTGTCACCTTCTTTTGAATGCTATTCTACAGCAACTCCGTAGAACTCGCTGTTCATTCCAGGGCCAGAGTGAGCGCATACAGTGATCTGAGCCTCTTCGGCTTAAGACAGAGTCATAAGCTGACACCTGCTGCCTCGTTAACTAGAACACGATTCAGTGCTGGTGTGTGGGGTTTCCCTTTTGTACATAGTCACAGGGAGCATGGATCAAATATGATGAATGCGTTTTTCTCACAATGATGACAATTACCCGCATCAGTGAGTGGGTTTTCTTGGTTCCAAAACAGCAACGAAATGTCCTTTAAATCTTGTCTCTTTCTTCACCCAACAACCCCTGCCCTAATCCTTGGTATCTAAGAAGGGAATGTATTTCTGTGCAGTTTGGCCTGACACATTTCTGTCCTGTAGGAAATGGTCTCACCCATTCTCCTTACAACTACACATCAGGCAAAGAAAGAACCCTCCGTTCAACTTCTTACTGCCAGTTTTTTGGAAAATAATTAGGATGAGAAAAGATAAAAAAGCAAAGAGTAATGTCTAAAAAGCTTTCCTTCTGTTTTCATGTTTTTCCTCTTTTTAAAAATCCTATATAATAAAAGCTGATATGCTAATGTCCGACCGTTTCACCGGTCGCTGTGATGCGTACTTACCACCAGGGGGCAGATGCTCCAACTGGTGGGTTAGCTTGCTGCTGGGGTCAGGCCCATCGGGACTGGGCGAGATAGGCCAGACACACCCTGGGGCCCTCCCCATCCAGCCAGCCAACCTCCCTCGTTCCCTCCCTCCCTGGCCAGCTGGCCTCCATTGGCCCCCATCGGGACTGGGCGAGACAGCCCGATCACCCTGATCACCAGTCAGTCCAAGGGACCCCACCCGTGCACGAATTTGTGCATTGGGCCTCTAGTGTCTTATAAAATTTGATCCATGTTTTCTACCTCAAACCAGGTTCAGATCATCTTATTCCCCTCAGGAGCTGTCCCGAAATTAAAGGAGAAGTAAAGTGCTGTTGGTTAGTGTCTGGACCTCCTACAGCAGTGATGGCGAACCTGTTGAGCTCTGCGTGTCAGCATTTTGGAAAACCCTAACTTAACTCTGGTGCCGTGTCACATAGAGAAATTTTTTGATATTTGCAACCATAGTAAAACAAAGACTTATATTTTTGATATTTATTTTATATATTTAAATGCCATTTAACAAACATCAACCAAAAAAATGAGTTCGCGTGTCACCTCTGACACGCGTGTCACATAGGTTCGCCATCACTGTCCTACAGGAATGTCTCAATTGCTAACCTTGAAGCACTTCCATTCACTACGTCCTGAAATTGGTGTCAGGAGCTATGCTGTCCCTGGTGTTACGTCTGCAGCTGGGAGCAGGGTTTTTGTTTGTTTGGTTTTGTCTGTTTTGCTGGTTTCCCCTGACACTGAGTCAGGTGATGGAGCCCTCCTCCCACCACCACCTCATTTCTGAGGACATGTTTAATGTTCTCCTGACGATCCCCAGCACGCTGCTGCCACGTTTCCGAATGTAAGGAGTGATCCGCACCGGTTGGCATGGCCCAGCATTCAGTGTCTTGGCCTGATTTTCAACACACTTGCTTTTGCAGCCGCTCAATTATGAAGAAAGACAGCAGCTGACCCTGCAAATCGGGGTGGTTAACGAAGCCCCGTATTATAGAGAAACGACTTCAAAATCAGCCATGAGCACGGCCACCATCACTGTTAACGTGAAAAACCAGGACGAGGGCCCGGAGTGTAGCCCTCCGCTGCAGACGGTGCGGATCAAAGAGAACGCGCCAGTGAATACGAGGAGCCAGGGATACAAAGCGTACAACCCAGACACGAAGAGCAGCAGCGACATCAGGTGTGTAGGATTCCGTGAGCTCCAAATTCACCGTGTTTTCATGTTTATCATTTAGCATTTTGGCACCGGGATTGTAATTGGGCTCATGGTACATTCTGTTATTTTAATTCCTTCTTGGCAGGTATAAGAAAATAAATGATCCAAAAGGGTGGATCACGGTCGATGAAAACACGGGATCAATTACAACTTTTAGAAACTTGGATAGAGAGGCCGAGTCCATCAGAAATGGTGTCTATAACGTCACCATCCTTGCAACAGACAAAGGTAAGAACTCTGCTTTTAAATCAGCCGTGGACATTGCCAAGCCAGCGGCATACATTCTCAGGTGTATTTCTCCCCAGGTGGCATTTCGAGTCATCGAGACGTTTGCTGTAACTCATTAACTCCTGTCTGCTTTCTAATAGCACCCTGTTTTAGATGTCAGGATAAAATAACAGTCACAGAAATGCTTGGAACTTTAATCACTTTTAAAAGTTAAGCATCCATTAAATATTGAGAATATGACTTAAGTAAAATTAACTTCAAGTTATGTAGTCATATCTCTTAAAATATTTTGGCAGAAAAATTCATTATAGAGAGAACATACTTATTGCCCCACAGTAAAATAAAAAAATATTTTTTAAAAGTCTTTGTTCGTATTTTCTTCCTTTCTCCTTTTAAAAATTAGTCAAAACTCACGTCCATAGAAGTTTCCATGTCTATTGTAGCTGTTTAGTGAATGATGAATGACAAATCTCAATAGCAGTGATTGTCTGTGCAACCCATTTGAAAGGTGCCCAATAAATATTTAAATAAAAATGTGAATGCATAATTTCCTAGTGAAAACTCAAAACACTAAATATTGTATTTTGATATCCGATTTCCTAGCTGGAAGAACATGTACTGGGACACTGGGCATCATCCTTGAAGATGTGAATGATAATGGCCCAGTGATCCTTAAAAAGACGGCGATCATCTGCAAACCCACCATGTCCTCCACGGCGATCGTGGCTTTTGATCCGGATGACCCTGTGAACGGCCCACCCTTCCGCTTCAGTTTGGAGGACGATTCTGATGCGGACGCACAGAGAGTGTGGGCGCTGACAAGGATCAATGGTATGGATGTCGAAACATTTGGACCTTTTCAACATGAGGGTGTCTAAAATACGTTTTCCTTTTTAATGTTTGAAATTAAATTTCTTGGGGTAACATTATACGTTTCTGGTGTGCAATCAAAATCTGATCTCCTCCCCCCATCCTAATATATCTGACGCCCGTTATCCTGTTCATCCTCCGGCCACCCTGACATACCTCTTTCTCGTTGAGATAGAAGTGGGAGCCACCAATGAAACAGGCAGGTTTCCCGTAGGTGTTAACGTGAATTCTCATTTCCATTCTTGCTCCACATCCACACCCGTAGGGGGGTCTGTGCCATCACTATTGTTTTCTACTTGGGATTCTCCCCGAACTTGGCTTCTAGTCTGTACTTCTGATGTTAAGCACAATCATAACTCTGCTGACAGGATGGTGAGAGTAAAAGGGACCTTCTCCATACCCCGGGGTATCCCCCCTCTGTCAGCTCTTATCTCGTCAGCAGCTCCTCCAGCTCCTGACTGCCCCGCCCAGGGCCAGGATGCCCTGTCTCCCTGCGCAGCGCCCCTTTCACGACTCCAGACCTATACAGCTGAATGGGGTTTGTGTTTAAAATGCCCTGGAAAGATGGTCAATCCATGCTTTCAACGACGACTCCTCAGCTTCTCATCATGGCAAATTAAAAGAAGAAAGGGCTTGAATAAAGGGAAAGGGAAGACAGAATGGAGGAAGGAAAATAAGGTCGTATAGAAGCCATCGTGGCAAGTCAAGGCCCTGTGTCTACAATCGTGTATCAAAGGAATTAAGCCCTGAATGCTTATATTAAATTTGTTAGAGCTGTGATAAAAACCAATCTCTTAACAAGTTTACTAGTTAGGAGAGGAAGACTTTATTCATGGACAGATTAATATTATTACAAAAACCAGAAGACCTTTTTAAAGGGGCAACAGAGACAAACATTTATATGCAATATGTTTGCCACGGCTGTCGATGAGAACCATTTGGTCCATTCACATTTACCGTCTTGTAGCAGCTCTGCCATCCCATCGGGAACATCCGTTTATAGGGAAATTTGAGGACTGTCCTGTCATAGTTGCTTCTGCTCTGGAGAAATCGGCGACATTCTATGACACTTGGTATTATTTTATTTTTTCAGATACAGCAGCGCTTCTTTCCAATCAAAATGACCTTCCGTTTGGCCCATACACAGTCCGTGTGAGAGTTACGGATAGGCACGGCCTGTCACACACCACCCCCTTGAATGTCATCATGTGTGACTGCGTTACCGAAAACGACTGCTCGCTTCGCGGCGTTTCCAGGACCGGCACCGGGGAGTTCAGGCTGGGAAAGTGGGCCATCCTTGCCATCCTGTTGGGCATTGCCTTGCTCTTCTGTGAGTCCCTTCTTGCACTCAAATAAGAGCCTTTAAAATAACTTCCCAGACACATGCTGAGAGCAGCACTGTGACCTATAGCTGCTCCCTTGGCTATAGCTGGGTGCCTATTGAACATACATATTTAATGTACCTGTGTAAGTGCATTCTGTTATCTCGGCATAAACAAAATTTAACACGGGAACACAGCATGCGGCGTGCCTCTGGGCCATATCTGCTGAGGGTGTCTGTTCTGTATTCTGATACAAGCTATCGGGAATGCCTTTTCTGGAAAGCTGCCTTGGGGGTAGTCATCAGAAATCCACTCCTCCTGCTGTTTGATCTTAAACTCAGGGAATCTCTCTCCTCCCCTAGGCATCCTCTTCACCCTAGTCTGTGGGGCGACTGGGGCGGCCAAAAAGCCCAAAGCCTTTCCTGATGACGTAACCCAGCAGAACCTCATTGTGTCCAACACGGAGGCTCCTGGCGATGACAAAGTGGTAAGTAGTTTGTCTTTATTTTTTATAATTTAAATATTTTAATTGATTTTTAGAGAGAGAGAAAGGGGGAGGGAGAGAGAAACACCCATGTGAGAACACATTGATCGTCTGCCTCCTGCCTGCCCCACACTGGGGATCGGGCCTGCAACCCTAGAGTGTGCCCTGACTGGGTATCGAACTGGCAACCTTTCAGTGCAGCGGATGGCGGTTCCCAACCCATTGGGCCACACCAGCCAGGACTGTCTTTTCTAAATAAATGCAAAGGGTAAATTGGCCTAACCAACTATCATCATCTTTTTCTGAACAAAGTTCTTTTGAAATCAGGTAACTTGCTATATATAAATGTCATCGGTCCCATGGAACATATAAAATGATATCGATGCCCACGGCAGTAGATGGCGTTTCAGTGTAGCCATCCAGTGTTACTTAATAGTAACAATCCTTGAGCCTGTCAGCACTATTTTCTATTTCAAATGTTTCATGATTTCACCTTTATATATACACATACATATTGAAATCGCTGTTTGTGTTGTAAAAAGGTTTCAATTAATTACAGATCATTAGCATAATTATTTTAATTTTATTTTTTGGCAACAGCCCTAACCTGACTGTAAGCTTTGATCAGCGTGAGAAGGACTTTAGTGCAGTCTTTCTGGCTCCAATGTGGGTTGGAAAGGAGTCTCGGGTCTCATATATGAAACAGCAAGGCCAGCGAGTGACTCCATGGCCCCGGCTTTGATGTCTCGCCTAATATGTCCACAAGGAACAAGTACATTCTCTGCAAAAGGCTTACTCGATGATGAGAGCTGGAGAGATTTAGAAACAAAAGGGTGTTGGCATCTAGGAAGGTGGGGGGAAAATGAAACTTAGGCTCTCTCTGACAACACAACATAGCAAATCAGTGGCAAGCTCTGGGAGCCTTCTTTCCCTGCTGATGTATTTTTATTTATTTAGATTGCAAAGATTCAATATTGCAACTAAAATTCTTGTTGTTGTGAATCCTCACACGAGGATACTTTCCATTGATTTTTAGAGAGAGTGGAAGGAAGGGGAAGAGAGAGAGAGAGAGAGAGAGAGAGAGAAACATCATGTAAGAGACACATCCAATGATATCCTCCCACGCGTGCCCAGGCCACAGCTACTCTTTCATGGCCACTTTATTTCTATTATTCTAGTTTTAGTTGAGGGGGAACCAGCCTTGACACTGAATAAGAATACTGGTCCTCACCTCTGTTTCCCCCTAGACAGGTGGAGGGAGTGGCATTAAGCATGGTAAGCGCATGTGAGACAATAGTCCTGGAATGCTGGTGGCCAGGCGGGAGGCGCTGGAAGGTTTTGACAGATGGAGCTGGCAGTCTTGTGGGAAGTGTCTAACGACAGGGTACACAGTGAGCGTTCTGATTTGTCCCAGGTCCAGGCCACTCCACACGTGTGTCTGCGGCTTGCCTGGGACACTACGTGAGCCTGGGCTACCATAGCTAGAGTCTCAGGGTTGCCAAGGCAGGCTCGGCTCCTGTCCTCAGAGGGCTCACCTAGCACAGAGATTATCTGCAGGCTGTGTTCTTCTCCTTCTTGTTCTCCTCTGTGGGCCCTGACGCCAGCTGTTCTGTTGCAGTATTCCGCCAACGGCTTCACCTCCCACACGGTGGGCAGCGCAGGCGCCGGGGCCTGTGGCACCGTGGGATCCGGGGTGATCCACGCGGGGCAGGAGACCATCGAAATGGTGAAAGGACACCAGACCTTGGACTCGTGCCGGGGCGGCGGGCAGCTCGCGCGGGAGCCCTGCGGGGCAGGACACGTGGAGGTGGACCCCGGCAGATACACCTACTCCGAGTGGCGCAGCTTCACCCAGCCCCGCCTGGGCGAGGTGCGTTCCCCGAGCGGCCTGCACACCCATTGGTTTCTCCTCAACTGTCCGAATGATTGCAATTGAGTGGCCTAATTGAGTCTATTTTTTAATGATTAGTCTACTCAGTAGAAAGCTGTCTTCCTTCACTTTGACTTAGGTCTGCCCAGCGGATCTTTGCCTCACATGTTGTTTGGCTTTTAGTTCTTCCCGAAATAATGTGAGATATTTAAATTATTTTTAATTATCGTGTTTCTATTTCCCCTGTGGGAAACCGTGGCTTAGACATCAAAAGTGTGATATCAGACGATCCCAGCCGGCACGGCCACCAGGCCTCTCTCCAAAGATCTGTACAAGCATCCATTTGGGATCAGCTTCAGGGATGCATTTCCCTTCAGCCATAATTTTTCAAGGGAAGGTGATGATCGCTTGAAATGATTTCTTGTATCCTTGTGCCCCGTGGGTGGCTTTTAGAAGCATGCTCTGTCATGAATGTACAGTGTGATTTATGATACAGACCAATCATGTGCATTTCTTATACGTAGGAATCCATTAGAGGACACACTCTGATTAAAAATTAAACAATCGAAGGTAAATCAAAGCCATCTTTTTTATGTTGGTCAGTCCTGGTGTTGAAAATGCCAATAATAAAAGGTGTTGTGTTCCCCCCTCGGCAGAAAGTGCAGCTGTGCAATCAGGATGACAGTCACGAACACGCCCAAGACTACGTCCTCACCTACCGCTACGAGGGCCAGGGCTCCGCGGCCGGCTCTGTGGGCTGCTGCAGCGAACGGCAGGAAGACGATCGCCTGGACTTTTTGGATCATTTGGAACCCAAATTTAGGACATTGGCAGAAGCATGCGTGAAGAGATGAGTGCATCCAGATAAGTCTACCAGAGCCCCAGTGGCTTTATCGCCTTTTCTTTCTTTGTATTTTTTATTTTTATTAAATTAAAGACCAGGGTTGGGGTTTTTGTTCTTGTTTTCAATAGAAGACACTATGCTTGCGTTGGGGCTACCCTCTTGTTCTGATGGAATGTCTGTAGGGTGACGCACAGTGAGGGAGAAGCGCTGTGAGTGCGTGCACACATTCCTCAGTGCTTCCCATAGTTTTCAGTGACTTGTCTTCCACCCCAAGAGACCCACAGAAATAGAAAGGTTAAGGAAGTCTGCGTAATTGTTTACATTTTGGTATAATGACAACAGCCAGTTTACAGTGCAATAAAAATGATTAATGTAAGTCTTTATCGTAGGCTACTTAAACTATTGCCTAATAGAAACGTCGTGGAGACCTTGCTTTAACGTCATCTCCTGTTACCTACTTAATTGTTTGTGTGGTGCTTGAAGACTGTTGTACTCCTAACCACTCTGAAGTGTGTATATACTGTTTACTGCATTATTGATGTTTTTTATTCTTACAAGACCTTTCTTCACAATGCAAAGGGAGATTCCCACCCAGGCGTTGACTGTTCTAACTGTTCCATTTTGGCGGAGTTGAGTTTCCAGGTTGTATTCTGTAGGAAATCTTGCACTGAGTCTATGATGCCTCTGTTTCCCACCTTGTCAGCAAAAGTTAGGTTTAAAAAGTGCTTTAAGAATGTATTTTTAGCCCTACCCGGTTTGGCTCAGTGGATAGAGCGTCAGCCTGCGGACTGAAAGGTCCCAGGTTCGATTCCAGTCAAGGGCATGTGCCTTGGTTGCAGGCACATCCCCAGTAGGGGGTGTGCAGGTGGCAGCTGATCGATGTTTCTCTCTCATCGATGTTTCTAACTCTCTATCCCTCTCTCTTCCTCTCTGTAAAATATCAATAAAATATATTTAAAAAAAAAAGAATGTATTTTTATTCTTACAAAGTTTTGGTCTCTCTCTCTCCCCCCTCTCTCGTTTCTCTCCTCCTTCCTTCTCCCCTCCTTCCTCTTTCTCCCCCCTCTCCTCCTCTACTTTCCATTTCTCTCTCTTTTTCCCTTCTCTCTCTTTCTCTCCTCTTTTTTTTTTTTTAAATTCTTACTTGGGTTGGAGAATTTAATATATTTTTAAAAGCTATTTCTTTTTTATTCTCTTGTAAAGTGAGTTATTCTGCTTCTGTTTTATGTGAAGGCATGCATTCTTAGTTTTCCTTGAATCAATGTAATATTGACTTTATTGTTTCAAACATCTTGGCGATTACTTCATCATCTCTTCGACAAAGAACCTTTAATGTTACATTTGAAATTATAGAACTGTGTGATTTTTTTTTATTAGATACAACTTTCTATGTTAACAAAATGAATTGTGTAATTAAAATTGGGATGTGGCCATTTTGTATATAAAAAGATATTTACAGTTCATATCTTTAGTGCAAGGATACCAGTTATAAATGCAAAATAGTGATGGTTTTTCAAATAAGCTCTGAAATACAGGGATTGGGAAAGTTCTATAGGAACAGATATTGTGTAGCTTTTTGGACAATGTGGCTTGCTATAGCTATGTGTTTGTGAAGTTATTTTTTTACTATTTTAAGATTACAGTTCTTAATAATGTAGAGAAAACTATTTAAATTTTGAAATAATGAGACAAAGTTAAATTTAATAGTCAACCAAACTGCAGGCCAGGTTTCCCAGCCGATTTTAGCCAATAAATTTTTCTATATATGCTAATTATATGGACATTTTAAGTGCATTCCTACCATTTGTGGCTGTTAGTCATATGCCTATCTTGAATTCACAAGATTGGCTTGTAATAATTATTTGTAAGGATTAACATTTGATAATTTTTCAATAATCAGTTATCTTTTACATGGTTTCATTACTGCCCAGTCAAATATACTATTTCTCAAAGTTATTTTTAAATAAATTACATATTAATTGTATAGTATTGGTTATGATAAAGGAAATCAAGTAGTTTTTAAAAATTAGTATGAGGTTGTTAATCATGTGTGTGATAGGAGAATTTACGTATGGGATTTTGTTTTCCTATTTAGAGAAATGAGTCTCTTTAGAATCCTGTTCTATATTTTTTAGAATTTTAGAGTTTGATTTGCAGAGATAATCATCCATTGTTATTATTTTCTATTCTGAAGGCTGTGATGCTATGGGATATTGTTACGTTGCATAATTTCTCTGTGTCTTCTTTTTCCCCATCATAACATGGGGAATAATAATAGAACTTATTTCTTAGAGTGTAAGACATTTGAATAAAAAATGGGTTTGAGCATGAAAGTCATACACCTAAAAGACACTCCTAATAATACGAAATGATTTTAACTAAGTCACATGTACAAGCTATTTCATATTAACCCTTTGAGTGCCAGCCAATATCCTAGGAACTATGCTAAAATTGGCAAGGCGTTTTTGCTGATTTTACTGCAGTGTAGGAAAAAAATTATGAATCGCAAGTAAATGAAGTTACATATTCAAAAACTTAAGGAAACCTTTACTACACTGACATATTTAGCAATAGCATCATCACTAATGAAAGCAGACCTAGAACTGGACGCCTTTTCGAAGCTTTGATGGTGCTCCCGGCACTTTTGGCGCACTCCCTGGCACCTTAGGGGTTAACAAAAAATCAACTAGGAAAATAAGATAATTGCTCCCGGCACTTTTGGCGAAAGAGAGGCGCGCTCCCTGGCACCCTAGGGGTTAACGAAAAATCAACTAGGAAAATAAGATAATGGGAAGAGTTTTTGTCATTGTTTTGTTTTGTTTTTCACTTTAGAATGTTTGTCAGTTGAGTATGTCTCTCTTCATAACGCTCGCTTGGTACCTGGATGTTGTATGTTCAGTAGTTGAGAACATATATTGCAAAGATTGCCGGAGCGTCGGCAAAGGATTGTTTAGCCTCAAATACTATGAAACTAATGAGATGGAGAGAAGCACCTCCCCTTAATGGCTCTGATGCCGAAGCCCTGTAGTGTGTGTGCTGCGGCTCCTCCCGTCCAGCCCGGCCTCGCTGCTCTCCCAGCGGCCCTGCAGAGAGCGGCTGGCCCCGGAGGCCCGTGCTGACCTGCCCGGGAGCTCAGTCTCCGGCAGCCCCCTGAGTGCAGAGTCCGGAGAGAGTGCCTCATGCAAACCCCCGCCCCTTCCCAGCTGAGGGATTTCAGAAGCCCCTGCACCTTGGAGTTAGTTCCCCCACTTGTGTGGCCTGTCTAAGGGGTTGGAGGAGGCCACTGGGTACTCTGGTGATCAGGGTTTGAAGAGTCGGCACAGGGTTCCAGCTTCGTGTGCCTGAGCTGCTGCTAGTTTGGTGAGAAGAGGGCGCAGTGGCTGGGAGTAGCCATCGCTCCAGCCTCCTCTTTGCCTCACAGCTGACACTGGCCCCGATGCTGCGTCTGTCCCAGAAGCTTGACTGGTATTTTACTGTCGTGGCCTTGGGAGCTCCATGGCTTGACAGTTTCCAGGTATTCAGGGAGCTCTATCTCATCCACAGCTCACCATCCTGTGGTGTGGTAAATCTTGAGACTTAAAGGAAAAGCAGATAAAATTACTAATCAACCATAGATTGCCTCGGGAGACAAAAAGCATTCAAACCCTTAGAGCATTGTTTCTCAACCTTCCTAATGTCGCGACCCTTTAATACAGTTCCTCATGTTGTGGTGACCCCCAATTTCATTGTTACAAATTGAACATAATAAAAGCATAGTGATTAATCACAAAAACAATATGTAATTATATATGTGTTTTCCGATGGTCTTAGGAGACCCCTGTGAAAGGGTCATTCGACCCCCAAAGGGGTTGCGACCCATAGGTTGAGAACCGCTGCCTTAGAGGCTTTCCCTGAGAAATGGACGGTGCTGTTTCAACAGGAAAAAAGCGATAGGGATTTGCTGGTAGTTCAGTGCAGCCTGTGTTTGGATCTCCCTGTAACCGGTGGTTTTTTTTTTCTTTTCTTTTTTTTTATCTGACTTTGACAACAGGGTTCCCTTCAGTCTCCATCTCCAGCCTTCTCCTGGGCTCTGCA